CCACGGTGGGTCACCTCTGCTCTCCCGTGCCGCGTCCACTCCTTTTCTGTACCGCTCAGGATTTAACGTGAAATGCTAAATGCTTTCCTTTCTCACTGCCCTGGCAGTATTCCCCTGGGTTCTCTGGACTCTGAGCCTCACTCCCCAAGGCCCCATAATAGACACCAGGTGTGTCCGCGAAAGACTGTTTCCTTTGGATCCCGGCACTTGAAACAAGCCATATTAAGCCAGTGGCACAGTTTCATATTCTTTTCATCAATGAGAGACCATGGCCTCAGGTGAGTCACCTCGGAGCCTTGGTTTTCTCAAGCACTGGAGGTGACACCAGCCGTGCCCTCTTAGAGGGACCAGAGGGGTAATGAACCTGAGAGCCAGTTAACAGAGAAAAGCACTAGGGCACATAAATGAGCAAGAGCCGCCACCACATCGTACCTTCCTTTATAGTCCGGACTCGGGACCAAGAGGCTTAAGAGCTAACGTAGTCGGAAGGATGAAGAGGTGAGTCCAGAAGAAAACATTAGACTATTAGGGGCAGCCTAGGGCCATGCTGGCTAGAGTCCTGCCTGGGCCACAGCTGGCCCCGCTCACTCTCCCAGTCCTGAACACGAACACGTTCCATCGTTCCGACTGACCCCGCTCTGTCCGCCAAGCACTGGGTGCCACCCGTTTGTCCCTCTGAGGGACCTAAGGAGCTCTCCCTTCCCAGCTGGCGTCTCTCCTGCCAGTCATTCACGGCCAGAGCAAGGCTGCGGGCACTGGCTCCTCACTGGGGGAGTCATCAGGAAGACTGGACCTGTGGCTCTGATTTCTAACTCCCCCCAATTGGAGAAAAGTTCAGAACCAGACTCTTAGAGCTGAAAGGGACCTTGGTCCCCATCTCATTCAACAGATTCTAAGACCCAGATCCCATGGCTGGACAGTTCGTCTATGGAGGAGATGAGGGCAGAGCGTCAACTCCCAGCCAGGGTCCCTTCCACTAAGCAAGTCCTGGCACTGACACTGTGAATACTGGACGGGCAGGAAGGACCTGCACCAGGACGCTCACCGCCCTGCAGTAAACCCAGGGCTGATGCCCAGGTCTGGGCACACTGGCCAGCCTACAGCCATGTGAGTCTAGAACAGGGGTGGGCAAACTTTTTGACTCGAGGGCCACAATGGGTTCTTAAACTGGACCGGAGGGCCGGAACAAAGGCATGGATGGAGTGTTTGTGTGAACGCACTGGCCAGCCTGCAGCCATGTGAGTCTAGAACCTGAGGAATGATGGGGAAGGAAGGAAGTCCCTCTCCTGGTCCAGGGAGAAGCATCAGCTGGGGGAGGGAGGAGGAGGGGAGAGCTGTGAGGAGAGTGGAAAGAAGGTGCTCTGGGGTGAATATGGTATCTCCCAGGGGACAGGAGACCAGAGGAGGGAGAGAAACGGAAAGGCATGCAGGACAGGGAAGCAGCTCATGGAAGGGAGGGGTCAGCAGTCTCTCAAAGTGGCCCTTCCTTCTCCAAGGCGCAGACACTTGACCTCTCCACACCCAGGCCTGTCCTCCCACGGTCACCAGGCATCCACCTAATGCCAACCAGACCAGGCAACAGCCTGGAGACCGCCCTTCTGGCTCGGGCTGGGTCAGGAGCCCGGGAAGCCCACGGCCCCTGGTGCAGGCCTCATTGCTTCTGCTCATCTCATCGCTGCGTGTCCGCTTCCAGGCTGAGCGCCCCCTGAAGGCAGGGACTGTGCCTCTTCATCTGCTAACCCTACACACGCCTGGACATGGCAAAACTCAGCAGCTGACTGTGGGCATAAATGTCTCACCTGGGCCATCACTTCCTCTGCGGCCACCTCAGAGCTGCTCCACCCACCCCCAGGTTCGGGCTGGACATGCCTCCCCCACGCTCCGCCACACGTGTGCTCTCTCCATATCAAAATGACCTGAAGACTCATTTGAGTCACTGTGTAGACTGACAACTCTTTGAGGGCAAGGACTGTCTTTAGTTGTTGTTAATTCTCACCTGAGGATATTTTTTCCCCATTGCTTTTCAGAGAGAGTGGACGGGAGGGAGGGAGGGGGAGAGAGAGAGAGAAGCATGGATATGAGAGAGACACATCGACTGGTTGTCTCCTGCACGCGCCCTGACCAAGGCCCGGGAGCGAACCTGAAACCCAGGTACGTGCCCTTGACCTGGAATCAAATCCTCCACTCCTCGGTGTGGGGCCGATGCTCTAACCACTGAACACCAGCCAGGGCGCAAGGACTATCTTTACCTCTTTATTCTCAGCACCTATCACAATACTTAGACACCCAGGAGTTTAACACACGCTTGTAGAATGAATGAACAAATGAATGAACGAAACCAAAGAGGAACCAAAAGAAACGCTACTAGAGCAAGCAGTCTTCATCAGGGAAACCCCATCTCCAGAGTGTCCCCCCCCCCCCCCCCCCCCCCGCCAGTCCTGGTGAGGACCCCCCTCCCCACAAGCTGTGGGAGAAGATCCCAGGCCACGCCATCCACAGCCACGTTTGGGAACAAAGAGCGAAGCCTCCAGGCTTCCTGCTCCGGGCACCTGTTGCACCCACAGCCACATCCCTGAGCATTTTGTTTTGTTTGAAACAAGAACAACAGAACACAATCTACGACAGGAAGCGACATTCCAGCGACAATAAGAAAGCACCAGGCTGCTCTACAGCTGTGCGAATCCAGAAAGAAAGACAGCAAGGAGCTGCTGGAGCCCCGGCAGAACAGTGGAGTGTTGATTAGAAATTGCTCAGCCTGCGTTACAAGACAGAACCGGGGGAGGGGAAGGGAGGGGAGAGGGAAAAGAGGGGGAGAGAGGGGAGTGGGGGAGAGGACAGTGCGTGTTTTCTCCTGGGCTCTGACTCATTTCTAATCTGTCCTTTCCTCCCTTCCTCCCTCCCTCCCACCACCCCCTCAAGAGAGAATTCATTGATTGGGCCGGACTGCACTGTCTTACCTTTCCTCCCCTGGCTTCCCTGTGAAGGATGATGAGTCTGGATCCACTCCCCATCACTGCTCCTCTCCCCTCCCTCCCCCTCCGCCATTGTGGCCTCCACCTTGCTCCGGGTGAGAGCAGCTTGTCAGGCACTGGGGGGGGGGGCGCGAGGCAGGAGCAGAAGCTGGGATCGGGGTGCTACAGGTGCTCAGGGGACCCAGGGAGCCAGCCGCACCTGCAGAGCAGAGGCCCAGCTCTGACAGCGAGGGCCCTGCTCACTAACCTGTTGCCTGCTTCCGGGCAAGGGCGGCCTCTCTGCGTGCAGAAGGAAGAAGGCCGGGCAAAGCAGCCCACCGTTCCCAGCACAAACAAAACCAAACCCTACAATGAAAACTCAGAGGCCGCTTAGGAGAGAGCCACCCACGGGCGCTGGTTTGAGAGCACTGGGCTCTAGTCTCTGCTCCATCACACATTTGCTGGTGCTTGTCCTGTGGGCCTCCTTTCCGTCAAGGCTGCTGCCTGGGTCCCTGGCTGCCTGGGTCCCTGCCAGCGACCTGATTCCACTGCCGCAGAAGCCGTGAGCCACCGGCCAGGGCTGTTTCCCTTGCTCCCCTCCCTGCAAGGCCCTGGGGCTCTCTGACTCAGGGACCCTCCCAGGTGCCAGCTGACTTCAGGGAGGGTGCCATGCAGGCTCAGGGCCAAAGTTCCCGGGACAAGATAACAGAGAAGAAGAGGCAAATTGAGGACACTGAGGATCAGCGAGGGGGGAGGTGGCAGGCCCTGGCAGGCCAGGGGAGGGGGAGGCACGGATCAGCCAAACCCTGAAATTACAGATGATTCACATTTGAATAGTGTGGGAGGGAGACACGCAGAGCAGGCAGGAGAGGCCAACTCAGTGCAGAGCCCCCACCGGGACCACGGGCTCAGGAGCCAGGTAGGGCCCTTCCCTGGGAACAGGCAACGCCAAGGAGTCAGGACTCTCACTCTGAAGCGGAGGGGAGCAGGGGTTGCCTTTCCTGAGTGTATGTCACCCTCTCGCTGGGGTGAGTTAAGTGTGCTCCCCTTTCCCACCGGCTTGATTCTCCCAAGCCTTCTGGTTGGTGCCCCTGGAGCGGACAAGACTTCATCTTGGGGTGCTACTTTGCGTTTTCTCTCCTGCCTTTCACGGCCCCATCCTATCCTCACAACCTTTCTGATCCCTGTTCCTCTCCTCCATCACTCGGTCTCCACGGTCATTGCCTCAGAGCTGTCCAAACCCCCCAACCTTGCGAGCACCCTGCCCCAAGCAGGGCTACTGTGTGACTCCGGGCTGGCCACCCTGCCTGGCCACGTGTCTCTCAAACACACAGAGTCATGGGGGGGGGGGGGGAAAAGGGGCAAAAAAAAAAGCCTTAACAAAAGCCTTTGCAGACCCCAGGAGGGTGGGAGAAGTTCACGAAAAGGAAGGGAAGCCTGGAGGGCCCACCTGGAGGAAGTGGCAGCTGGGAGAAGCCCTACCTTCTGAGCATCTCTGCTGATTATCTTTACTGGGGGACGGGGCCTGTTTAGAGGGGTGGGGGGGAGGAAGGGCCCTCTCTCACGGTGGGACCACTCCCAAGAGGTACAAGTAAGAGACAGCAGGGCCCTAAATCTCACAACCAATGGAACCTCCACCCACCTGCCTCCTCACCCCTGCCTGAGAATGCCCCTGGGTCCCCGAGTCTCCAGGGAAGGAATTAAGGAGACGCTCCTCCGCCCCCGCCCCCACCCTCAGCGCCAGTTTCCCTAATTAACCAGCCTCCTCGGAGCTTCCCTTAGTCCCGCCAGGCTCTCCCCAGCACTGCACTCGGGTCCACAGAGGCAGAACCCTTGGAGGGGGATGCCGGTTCCAAAGAACCACCTCCAGTACTAGTGGGCCAGACACCTGCCTCTCCAGCGGCACCCCCCCCCCAACACGCAGCCCCTCCCCCACGTACCCGGCCGCTCACAGCTTCAGCACAGCCGGGGCGTGGGGTGGCGGGTGGGTGCACCCCCACGGCGAGAATATATAGAAAGTTCCCCGCGGCGGTGGCGAATGCCGCTTACCTGTCAGCCCGAAGAGCGCCATCCACGCCAGCGAGACCCGGTCCATCTCCCCCAACTTCCCATCCAGGGACGAGTGCGCGAGCCCAGTGGGGAGCGGCGCGGGCGCGGG